GTGTTCTGTTGTCGAATTGTAGGAGTTCTTTACATATCCTGGATCTTTCATATAGATACCCTTATTCCTGGGCCTGCTGTGTTTTTAGGGCTTCCTTTTATTGAGCACATTAAAATGATTTTGTTTGTCAACTAATTCATCTTTAAACATGCTTCCAACGCTGCCAATTATAAATGCCTGCTTTGGTAAGCATTGACCTATATGGACAACCGAAAAGTAGTTCACCAAATCTGAAATGTCAGCTTAGGAAATATGAAAGTAAAATTATTTATATAAAATGGAACATTACTTTTCAGTTTGCCAAATGGAATTCATGGTAGCTGTTAAGAATCATGCCCCCTCTCACCTTCACCACCCTCAGCCATTCCACACACCCTTCTCCTTCAGTCATTGTGCCTCTCGGCCCCACAGAGGGTGAAGGGTGCCTCCTCAGATAGATCAGCCTTAAAGCGGATGAAGTTTCGATTTCAGGGCCTCTTCCTTGCAGGGGCCCCTTTAAAGAAATATCTAATTATGCTTTTTAATGTATGTATTTTAAAGAAGCTTCCCCACGTTTTTATAAACTTCAGGCTCACGAAATCTGAAAGTACCTCTGGATATGTTTCTTCCATTTGAAATCCTGTCTTATTTGCTGTGGAACTGCCGAAAACCAAAACCGGCCTGGGGTCTATTGTTCGGTGTACTGAGTTATTCCTGGCTGGCTTTCTTCTTTGCAGAGTTTCTAATCTGGGGTGCCCAGCCACCACACTTTTCATCAGAGTTCCAGAAACACATGGGTGTTTCTAGTGAGCCTGGTCCTCTCCCGGCTCCCCTGCTGAGCTTTGTCAGCATACAGCACTTGTTTGGCTCTGGGCACTTAGGAGAATATGCAGGCCAGTTTCTGAAAATTTGGTGCCTAGTTGTTCATGCAAAATATGCATGTCCTTTTGGACTCTGCACAGAGCCATAAATAAAATGTTGTACTTACACAGTGGGAGCAAAGAAGGCAATTGCCAGACTTAATACCTAACCTCGGAAAATTTTCATGAGCATAGCTTAGACAGTTTCCTAAATATTGGTGGTATCTTGTTAAAAGTAAAAATGAGCCTCTGGCCCCTTATGAAATGTATGATTTTATTAAGCAAAAATTAAGTTTTATAAAAATTAAATCCTAATATTCTCCTATACTACTATAAGGCATTAATGACAAAGGCATTATCCATCTATACACTCTGTACAGTTATAATAATAACTCAGACAATTTTATATATTTCTATGAAGGGTATATGTTCTAAAAAAAAATATTCTCAGTTTCCTTCTACCTCTTCCCCTCCCCTTTCTCTTTCCTTCCTCTTCTTTTTTCCTTTCCCTTCCCTTCCCAAACAATTCTATTATAAAGCCATTAGTTGGTACAGAGCAAGGTATGCGTCCACAGGAAGGTGTTCAAGCGTGGCATGTCGGACCTCAATCACTGTAGGGGTGCAGGCTAGCAGGAGGTGTCAGAACCTGTGTGAGTTTGGGGGGCCATCAGTGCAAGGGAAGGGTTTACCTCAATGGGAACTTGGCTACAATCAAGTAGGGTAGTTGGTCAAATAGGTAAATATATTACGAATAACGAGAAATCAGTTTCTTAACAACAAAGAAGGGGGTGACAAAAATGGAAAGGGGGGAAATTAGAATTAACTCAGTGGTGTTCGACTGGAAAGGGAAGTATTGGTGTGAACTTCCAATACAAAGAGATAGATAAAGAAATACATGTAGATATAAATATGTATATGTGTGTGTATGCATATGTGTACATACATATATTCTCAAGTTCTGTCTACTAAAAGGGCTTAATAGCAACAACACCCCAATAGCAAAGAGCATACTTAGCCCCCGATAGTGGTTTCTAAATTCTCACCTAAAAGAAACCAGGACTGAGGCAGGAAAAGTACAAGATGAGAAAGCGGCCCTGGCCAGTTTTGCTCAATGGATAGAACGTCAGCCTGTGGACCAAAGGGTCCTGGGTTTGATTCTGGTCAAGGGCATGTACCTTGGTTGCAGGCTCCTCCCCAGCCTGGGCCCTGGTCAGGGCTCATGCAGGAGGCAACCAATCGATGTGCTTCTCTCACATCAGTGTTTCTCTCTGTCTTTCCCTCTCTCTTCCACTCCCCCTGAAAATCAATGGAAAAATGTCCTTGGGTGAGGATTAACAAAAACACACACAAAACAAACAAAAAGATGAGAAAGTGCGCACAGAATGATGAAGATGTAACTAAAGGCACAGAAGCTATTTTGAAGGGGCTCCCACTAAAAAGCTTAGAACAATTTAAGCATCAAAGTAAATGATAATAGTGGATAATAAACCATTTAAAAATTGAGAATCTGTGCGTCCATATTATAAAAATTAATTAATAAACCAAACATTTGATACGGGAAAGGATATTTACCTAGGTTCAAAGTGTTGATGAAAGGATGTTCAGCCTATAGAAAAGTTTTATAAGAATTTATTTGAGCCAAAATTTTAAGGACATGATTGGAAGCAATATCTCAAAGGATTGAGAATATGCTCCTGAGAATGGCAGTTTGCATTTCCTTGTATGCATTTAGAATGAATCAAAGGAGAAAACGTAAGGAACACCATTACATTAGTGGGTGCAGGATAGTTAACATTTAACATTTACAGCACATAGAGATGGTATTTGTGCAACGGGATAACCATGAGGGGTTCTGTGGTCTCATGCTCTGGCGGTCTTGTGTTCTTCGGCCTGTGATTGTACCATAGAGAGGTCAAGAAAAGAATATTACTCAGACATTTCAAAGGTATGTCATCCTAGAAGATGCATAAGAACAATGGACAGAAGTAACTTAAGGTAAAGATTGACCTTTGCAAAGGAAGCTATGGGCTTGGAACATGACTACTCATCATGGCCTGCCCAGTGAGGAGTTTGTTAACTGACCATTCCGTGTGGTTGCTCTGGGCCACTGAGCTCATCAGGCCTGCCATGTGCCCCAGCCCCCCTGAGCCTGCCAGGTTCATTTCATAGCGCCTTTATCTGCACAAAAGTAACACCAAACAGATATTCATTCATTATGAAGGAAAGTAGATTAACTTTACAGTGGAGAATACTTGCAGCCATGATTTTAATCAAGTGACCAAAATGAGCATCCTAAGTAATGTCACAAATCGAATTCTTGTGCCACCCAATAGAATGCTAAAGAAAGAACCCAGCATCGCTTCTATGATTTCTGCCAAAGTTTACAAATGAATCACAAGAAAACATTAGGCAAACTCAAATTCAAGGACACTATCTATGAAAAACTGGCTCTAATCTTCCAAAGTGTCCGAGTCATGAAGCCAAAGACACACTGAGGAACTATTTGAGGTTAAAGGAGGGACTATCGAAACCTGTCAGCTGGGTCCTTCTACAAAGGGAGCTACTGGAATAATTGGCAGATATTGAATAGGATCTGGGGATGGTGGTAATGTACCAATGTTAATTTCCTGATTTGATAGTTGCATTGTGTTTATGTAGAAGAATGTTTTGTAGAAAATACACATTAAAGTATGACAGAGGGTGATGATGAAGGATCAGGTTGGCAACTTTCAAATGGTTTGGAAAAAAACCTCTGTTGTTGTCCTGTACTTGCAACTGTTCTGTAATTTTGATTTTGTCTCAAAATAAAATCTAAAAGTTGCTACAGTTGTATTTAGTTGTTCTTACTTCTCCAGTACATGTGGATTTTAGGTGTTAATGGATGATGGGGGGTATATATGGACTTTCAGGTCTGTCGTGGTGTGGTCCAGAATGAATGCCAGGGTCCAGCCCCAGCGGTCCAGCGGCTCCCAAAGGGTTGGACTGAGTCCCCGAAGAATGTTTTACATGGAGACAGGGTTCATAGCTCTCTAGCTCTCTTTAGTCTCCGTGGAGCTTCCTGTGCCTGGCTGACGCCACAGAAAAAGATCCCGAGGCAAACTGAGCCTTTATTTTATAGTCAGAGGTAAACAAGGTAGTGGTTACCACAGTTACACTGTTCTTGTGAGTTTCACTTGTTTACACTGTTTTTGTGAGTTTCACTTGTTTTTGTTCTTGTTCTTGCTGCACTTCCCTCAGCCCATTAGCTTCCCAGGTAAGACCTAGGGAGCGTCATAAGGTCCAGCCTAATTATGCTTAAGACGACTGTGCCCTCTAAGCTGGGACTTGTTTGTGACTTTGCCAACAAGTCAGTCTGAGGTTTAACCCTATGCGGCTCCCCACAAGTGAAGTCTTTTAAACAACTTGAAAATGTGTTTATTTGCAGCTGCTAAAACCTGATTCACTGCCCAAGGCTTATATAGCTTGTCATTTAAATATTAAAATCCCCTCTTTAAAGTTATTATTCTAAAGCCCAAATATCAAAAACAAGTGGGATGGATAATCAAGTCCATCGGTCCTGAAGAAATCTGTTCTGAAAAATATTGAAAAAAGTGCACCGGAGTGTGATGGGTGGGATAAGCATAATGCTGACAGGAGTGAATCCCGTCACCGCATCTCTGCTCTTACCCTAGCTATAAAGTTCGGGGTCTTCTCAGTCAGAAAAAAAAAAAATACCTTTCCATACACACAAACATGTTTTTATGTCATTTTTGTTTTAAAATGTCGAGTTGGACTACACTCATTTCAAGGGCACACTGATGCCTGCCTGCCATTTCTAGTGGAGCGATCTTTTAAAATTTACCTGGGAGCTAAAAGTGATTTCATCTCCGGTTGTTCGTGTAGCTTCCAGAAGAGTCCAGCAGGTGGTAGTCTAGGAGAGGAACAGTTTTCATTCTCCCCCATCCCCCCACCAACCAGCAAAACAGGAAGAATGTGGACTCAGCAATGTGCCTTCTCTTCTCTGGCGCAAGAATGGGATTTCCAAGGTTGTTATTTCAAAATGGGTGCTTAGGCAGAGAGAGCATCACAAGAAAGGAGGCAGAAATAATTTTGTGTATATGTGTGACTCCGCAGTATTCTGAAGCTCAGAATTTCTTTCTTTCTTTTTTTAATGATTTCTAGAAATTCCACTGGTTTTATATCTCTTTGCCCTGATTTCTGTGACATGGCTTTGGGGAGGCCTGCACATGGCTTACAGACACTTCTGGATGTTGGTCCTCTTTGTCATTTTCAACAGTCTGCAGGTAAGCCTTACGTTTTGATTACTGATGGCATACATGTACGCTAACGAACACATGGCATAGAGTTCCAGTGTAAAGGAAGCAAGTGTCCACACTCAGGTGAATGTGTGCACATAATAACATCTTGCAGAGTGGTAGAGTAAAATGCTGGGGGTTAAATCTCTAACACCGGAAATAGGGCTGGGCTTCTAGCCTGCTGGTTATACAGGTAGGGAAGACATATTTACCCTCCTTTGTTATGAGAACACCTAAGTGACTGCAAAAACATATTTTTGTTCAACAGAATGGATGTTTACAAACTTTGCAGGTGGCAGCCATGGAGGGCCTGTGCTCATAACTGGACCGTGGCTGTATCCAGAAATCAGATCAAATGAGGAGTGACACAGGTAGCAGTGTTCAGGCAGCCCCCTCATAGGTCTGGTGCTTAGTGAAATGAGAGCGGTTGGTTCAGTGAAAAATGACTGACATCCTCTAAGTCTGGCAATAAGGTAGTTAGGTGAGCATGCTTGGATAGCACAACTAGAAATTAAAGAACCATGGCAAAAATTAAAGCTGACATTTTTAGTGCTTTTGTTAACTGGGGAAAAGTTGCACCCTGAAATTAACAAATGGAACAAATGAACACATTTCCCTTATTTTCTGATCTAGACTAAAATAATTTCTTGAATTTGCCAAAGATATCTCTACACTGTCCTTATTTTGACCACCATCTTGCAAGGAACATGTGTAGACAAACATATTATGTCCTACAACTAAAATATGACTCAAAGCATATTTAGGTTTGCAAAGGAGACATGAGAGCATATATAACAGCAGGGTGCCTAACTGGAGCATAGTATCGAGTTAGGGAGGGGAAAAAGTACCAAGTAACTTTAAAGTTGGGGATCAAGTTGATATGCAGACTCCTCTCTATAGATATAATTAAGCATCTGCTATTAGCACAGTGAGCGGGCGGGGCCCGCACCAGGAGGAGGCCGGCAGCCCTACTCCTTCAGGATCTGGTGACTCAAAAAAGCAAGCACTTAGCAATGAGCATAAACTATGGCAGGTGCCCTGTAAACAAAGTGCTGTGAGAACTGAGTGGAGGGCCTGTTTACTCCTGTCTGTGCTAGCATTTGAGCTGATCGCCAAGAGTGAGCCACTCAGTCAGAGCCACCCAGTCGCCTGTGAAGCCCTAAGGCCTAGTGCAACTGACATTAAGGTTCACACTGACCACCTAAAGTGCTATTTCATTTTTTTAGACACAGAGTGGTACACAGACCAGTTTTTAGATTTTTTTCTTTTTTAAATACATTTTTTTACAGAGAGGAAGGGAGAGAGATAGAGTTAGAAACATCGATGAGAGAGAAACATCGATCAGCTGCCTCCTGCACATCTCCTCCTGGGGATGTGCCCGCAGCCCAAGTACATGCCCTTGACCGGAATCGAACCTGGGACCTTTCAGTCTGCAGGCCGACGCTCTATCCACTGAGCCAAACCGGTTTCGACTTTTTTTTTATTTTAGATTTTTTTCTTATATTTGCTACAAACTTTTAACTTTGAGAAGCCCTGAATTTCTGCCAGCTATACTAGCTTAGCAACAATTTTCAAGTCCTGCGTAGATGCTGCCCCCTTTAGGTGGGACCTGTGACCTTATTACACCTGGTAGACTTGATTCATTGATTTTGCCTGCCCATGAGTTTGTGACACCTTTAATGTTTATTAAATAAGTGATGAGCATATGGTTAGGGATGGGTATTTCAGGCCTGGACTACAAAAAGAGAAAGTGATACATTTTGCCTAGATGAAGCAAAAGAGTAGAGGGGAGCAAGAAAGGTTTTGCAGTTAGAGGCGGTGGCGGGAGAGGAGACAGGAGGGGGTTGGCTTCAGTGCCATGTTACCAGGTCAGGATGGGATATTAAACTTCAGCTTCTAAGCAGTGGGAAGCCATCGGAGTTGGGGGTTTTGTTTGTTTTATTCTGATTTGCTTTGCTTTTTAAAATATTGCTAGTTTTTAATTTTTTTAAAATATTAAATGGGAATGGCATGCTCAGACCTACTCTTTGGAAGGATAACTGGAAGCATTTGGGAGGGTATTGGAAAGAAGAGCAGTTCCAGGCAGGTAGGCTGTTGTTATAGTCCAGCCTACAATGGTCTGGCAGTGTGCCTGGGAACAGACAATAATGGCAGGTTTGAGGATTGCTGTAGAGATAAATTAGTGAAACTAGGTTAGCCAGCTAAATGGGGAATGTAGAGTGTGAGAGAGTAACTTCACTTAGATATGCCTGGCACAGGTGAATGGCTGGGCACGGACACCTTAAGTCAGCAAGAGCAGGATTCCAGGGTGTAAGCACTGAGGTTGGAACATCAGTGAGATTTGGGAGACAAAGCTACCAATCAATGTTTTGGTAACTAGGTATAGTGGGAGAGCCAGTGAAAGAGATAATTTTGATAGAGAACCGGTGTTGGGCAGTTTGGAGTTGCTATTCGAAAAGAAAGCTTCAAAAGAAAACAGGACCAAACTGCCTGTGTAGCAGAGAAGACAGATAGAATCAGACCGGAGGAGCGATGTGGTCTAGTGCACTGGTTCCCCAGCGGTAGTGTGCATCAGTCACGTGAAGGGCTTGTTAAAACACAGATGGTTAGGCTCCACACCCAGAGTTTCTGTTACAATAGATCTGGGTGGGATCTGAGAATTTGCATTTCTAACAAGTTCCCAGAGGTGGCTGATGCAGCTGATCTAGGGCCTAGGTTGGGAACTACTGGTATAGAGCATGATCCTAACTCTACCAGCCTACTCTCCGGTGGACTTCAGCTGAGTCATGGATACTTCCTCAATTCTGCTGCGTCTGTGAAATGGGGATAAATACTGTGTGATTATGGTGTGATTTAATTAAATGGCATGATGAATGTAAAGCAGTTGTACAGTATCGCACACAAAGAACAGTTATTTTTACTCAAGAAGTGTAATGGAGAATGCAGAGAGAAATAATCACTTAGGAAGGAAGGCTGGTTGGTTTCTTGTTTTGTTTTCGTTGCTTGTGGGGGAAAAAAAGACAACTGGAGGGAAAGCTCATTGCCATGGCAGATCATGAGCAGGGCAGGGGGAGCAGACATGACAGGCGGCTTATCGGAGGGAGGGCCAGGGATTTTTTCCTCTGAGGCTAGGGAGAGAGGGAAGGATAAACATGAAAACACTCTTCTGGAGCTAAAACATGTCTATGGAAAGTTGGAGTTTGCCTCTCTTTTCTCTCAAAATCAGCAAGCAAGGATATTTGTTGAATGAGTTGACAGCTTGAAGTAAAAATAGTAAAAAAATATGGAGCGGTTTCTAAGCAGAAAGTAAATCTAAATGACGGTGGTTTGGAAGCTGATCAAGAAGCGGACTGCTTAGAGAGTGACCGGTGGGATTCCGCGGAGGCTGGAAACCTGAAATGTGAAGGGAACCAGTCAGCAGTAATTAAGTAAATGGAAGCCTTAAGATTAAAATGGGAGCCAGTATAACCTATCAAACCGCATATACAGGAAAAAGTCTGTTGAGCTCTTATGGAGGTTAATTATTAAAGGAGGACTGTTTAGCATTAAACTGTATATTGCAGGGAGACATAAAAGAAATCATTATGGTCTCTTTCTTTTAGGAACTTAATACAAGCTAAGTATAAGGAAAAACTAAAAATATTTCAAACTCATATTGAATGAGTTTAATTCCATCTATGTGGCTCTATTGAAGCAATGACTGTTTGTATCACCTTTGCCTGGTATATGACACACTGGTCATTCCTGGGAAAAGGGCTCAATCAGTCCTTAAAGGAGCAGTTGAAAAATATGATTTCTCCAGGGTTTATTGGGGTTCATTTAATATAGAAACTGCCTCATGTCTTTAACTTGGACATTTCTATGGAATATGGCTCTATAGTAGTTAGATCTTCAAAGACAATTATTCTATGAAGACTTAATAGCCTGCCTTCCTTCCTTCCTTCCTTCCTTTTTAGTGGCCTTTGTATTTCTTTTACTCCCTTTGTCAACAAAAGTATGTTATGTATATATGTTGGGCTATGATATTTTGGTCAGAGATTACTGCCTCATTTTTTTATCCAGCTTATTATGATTTCATAGGTGCTCTGAGATTGATGAATGAAAGGTATATTTCTATAATATTCTGATTTTTAATAGTTATTATGTGATGCAGTTTTACAAAAAAAGGGAATCTTGATCACTTGAAATATTATCAGGACTTTCTTGATCACTTTCTGAATATTCAGGGTTAAGCTACCAAACTTCTAATACATCTGAGCATTTAAGAACTGTGTGAAGTACTTTTTAAAGCATGACAGATAAAAGTGCAAAACTAAGGTAAAAAAAAAAAATCATTCTGAATATGTCTACTGTTATTTTTATTGCTTAACCATCTTCTCGAGCATCGTGGCCACCAGCAGTGTAAGACTCACCTCCTCCAAGCTTACTTGCCCCAGCAGGGAAAGAGCTTATTCCCCAGCAGGACAGTTCTCCGCAGGACTTACAGCACATTCACCTTGGGTCACAGACTGTCCAGAAACCAATCACGTGACAGGCACTCTGGCGAAGCCTGGGTCAGGAGCAGATTCCAGTGGTAGAAGGAGTTGAGTTTATCACACAAAACCAAATGGAATGGAATCCCCACCAGAGGAAAGGGTTCTTTTACCAATGTGTGTGTGGCCAGGGGGCCGGGGGAGGGAGGAGAGATGGCAACAGTGCTAGCCAGGCCAAAGTAACAGATGTCCACTCTACCTATTTTCTCCATTTTCTTGTTCATTGATATAAGTTTGGACAAGGACAGCTATTGTCAGACTACCAGGAAACTTCATCAGTGAGACATTAGTTTATTGTGAATATCCTTGGGATCCATCCTATAACCACATGTCTCTGTGTGGCCCCCAAGAAATTCATGAGGCACTGTGTTTAATATTTTTCTTAATTCCCTGATCCAGTAATCTAATAATCTTCATATTTTTAAGAATGAGTTGGGTTTCTCATTTCTAAGTAGA